CAGTTTAAATACTGTAGCAATTACTTTTATAGACTGTAAAATTCAAAATGTAATAACAGAATATTTTGTTTATATATTAGTCTTTGTACAACAGGCGTGAAAACTAATGATGTATTTTACACGCATTGTATGTATATGTATATATACATATATATATATAACCTGTAATTATTCATAAACTCATATAATATGTTCCAAGAAATATTCAGCAATTATGTAAGTAATCATTGTTAAAAACTGGCTTTTCAAAATCGCCATTATCGTGTATATAAACTGAATTTTTTTGTAAATAATTTACTCTACACTGTGATCATTTACAACATTTTGCTATGTTCTCAACATTTTTTATTTCTCTTACATTACATTCTGTAAGTCCTTGTTATTGTATTCATACAACTACTAATATTTACATATGTAACACGAATTATCAGGGATTAAATAATCACAACTAACAACGTTGCATGTTTATCAAACAACTGCCATTGTGTTACAAGCACCATATATGCATTATATATATACTCGTATACAACATGCACTGTCAAATACATATCAACTAAACCCAATCTCGAGCAGGACCCATCATAATATATTGGCTACCTTTTCCGATAGTTAGTGAATTATCATTCTTTGCCTTGGCTTGTTGAAAAGGTATTAAGAAACTCTTGACGACACTTTTTGTGAATAAAACGATTGTTGTTTACGCAGTCGAGAATATTTCTAATCTGCTCGTGTACCACGTATATATTAGCATGCTGTACAGAAAGCAATTTTAATGCCACAAACACTTTGGAGTTAAACTTGGTCAATTATCCTACGAGTTTTAGATCTTGCCAGCGTACACAACAACAAACATTTATACAAGAAGATATCGCCTGTGCCAGTAAAATTGAATAATATCGACAACAATTCAATTATTTAATAACACCCATGAATATCAAAATATGAATATTCCACAATATTGGAATCATGAAATAGCTGACTGGTATATGGTCGACCTGTATCAAAAGAATTACATATAAATAGTCAATGCGTACAGACGCTGTACATATTCAATCATAAATAAAACAATTGTTGTCGAGGGCGTGGTTCAATTGTCGGCACTGTTCCTAAGCATTCATAATACTTTTTGACAACCTCAGTTCAATATCTGTTGGATATTAGTTCAATACAGATTAAGGGCCTTCATTCCTTATTACCTACATCAGGCAAACAAATTCATGGTTCATAGTTCCATGGCAATCCTAGCCTGGCATGTAGGCGTAGTAGCTCCCTCGCCGACCGAACGGTATTAGGTTTGGAGCACTGCGGAGGGCGCAACACTCGTCAGGTTATGGCATTCCATGATTGAGACGAAATTTTCTTTACTTTAATTACAACAGCTTACAAATCGCTTTGTGAGATTGTGACAGTGCATATTTGAATAATAGTAATTTTACGACATGTTTCCTAGTTTTCAGACTGCGTTAGCGTTGAGTGAGATTTTTTGTTCTAAGAAATTATCTATTTTTGGATCACATTTTCTTAGCGTTGAATAAGTCACTGGTTAGTTCTTGGTTAGAACAGCACATTTCCAAAAGCATTCATTTACAAATGACTGCCCCTTTCCTCTGTGCATCTCACTTCCGCTCATATTGAGCTTTGACACCCTTGATAGTTTCAAAATACCATGTTTCCATCTATAAAGAGTCTGGTCGTATCGCAGTAAATATTCGAGTTAGGGCGAAATCGAAACTAAAGGTGGTCTAAAATTTTGCGAAATATCAATTTTGATGACAATTAACAACAACAAACGTATGTGTTTCAAAGTTTATCTCGCGGCACTGTTGCGCTATTCATCACAATTCGCTTATCTCGATAATTTAAAACAACGTCTTTGCAAAATGTATTGCTATGATCAATTCTCACAAAGTTGGAAAAAGTTCAGCATAAAAAATACACCAATAAAAAGATTGATAACAAGTAATATGATGCAATTATTATCTGATCCCACGTCCTATTACAAATATTGAGGTTTACCAATCTGTATGGGGACAAAATACCTGGTGCAGAGAACAAAAAACAAAAGAAAATTATGTGACAACTTATCAATCACCTTGATTCTGAATTTTGTAGCAATCTCAGTGATGAAACACGACATCAAAATACATTCAATACATTTAGGCGAAAGTAACCCGACATTGAACCCTTTTTACTGAGTTAAACTAACAATACATACAATTTCAGGTATTTCCATTGTATCATAC